GAGATAGGTGGCGGTAATGCACTTATAAGTCTGCGATCTGCCGTACAGCAAGAAGAAGAAGATGCGTCACGCGCCGGCTGTCGAGGACGTGCTCAGGACACGCTCAGGTCTATGGAGGATCAGAAAGCTCTCGGATTTCATCAAAAATATCTTAATTTGTGTTCTGAAGATGAACAAAGGTCTTGCGGGTTTGAAACGACATGAAGGTGAGTAATAAATGGTGAACTATCCCTTTAATGAAATCAAGGAAATTTAAGGAAATTGGAATTACTGAATTATTACAATTGGAATTTTTAAACGGAATCAGAACGAGAACCAGAATTGTTTTGATTCCTTATGATTCCCTTCCATAATTGTGTCTTTAAAGTTGTTCCTGTTTTGTTGAATTCCTTAAATTGCATGTTACTTCACCACATTATTCTTTCTGAATAGTAATGGTAGCTTAATTGCTTTTAGTGGTTGGGTTCTCTGTTATTCTCAGCATTACTCTCTGACTGTCGTGTGTGTTTATAGCAGAGGTTCAGAGTGAGATCGAGAGGATCTTTGAACTGGCTCGCACACTGCAGCTGGTGGTTCTTGACGCCGACACGATAAACCACCCGGCCCAAATGGGAAAAACGTCTCTTGCACCTATTATTGTCTACATCAAGATCACCTCTCCAAAGGTACACACACACATATATACTTTAAAAGAATATACTTAGTCATATACTTTCGCAAAAAGTTAAACTTAAGTCCTACTTAAGTGGGCCAAAAAAGCACACTTAAGTACAATTTTTTTATTTTGTAATTCTTAGAAAAATGGTTAAAGTACTGCTGAATGTGCTGACAAGCATTTATGATAAACAAAAACAGGCTATACTTTAAAGTCATTTCAGCTGAAACTTGTATGTCATGTATTTTAATGAAGTTGCAAATGTATTAACTTTATATCATCAAATAGAACATTATAAATAAAATTATAATTAAGTACTTTACATCTTCTTCAGTATGTTAGTCAACACATCAAAATAAGTGCACTTCTTTAAAGCACAACAAAAGATTATGAAAACCATTATTTAAATGCATTTTAAAGTGAAGCATTTAAAAAAGTGCGCTTTTGCTAAATCACTCTGCTTAGGCTTCAGATCCCTTGTGAAAAGAAGCACACTAGCATACGTTTAAAAAGAGTACTTATAGAAATAACATACTCTGAAAGAATATACTTAAGTGTGAATTGAATATAATGATTTCAGACACTTAAAGGCACAATATGTAAGATTTTTTAAATATCCAAAACCCACTAGAACAGTGTTATATATTTTATTGACTTGTGTACTTACATTATCCCAAATGTTTCGAAGTCATAAAAAGCCATTTAAGTGTACTTAAAGAAAGACACTTTCATGACTATTCTTTAACTTACTATTTAAGTGGGTCGAAAAAGCAAAGTTCAACTAACTGCATTTGATATAAATTTAAACACATTTTCATTTAATTGCACCCTCATTACTCCTATTACAGATGAGTAGCCTCCGTCATGGTGAGTGTGTTTGTGTGAAGGACTGAAGCTCAGTCATGCTTTCATTTGACCAAGTTCAGAATAGTAAACCTAATTTCATGAGGATTTAGCTTAAAGGAATAACTCACCCAAAATAAAAACACCGTCATCATTAATTCACCCTCATGTCACTCGAAACTCTTTAGTCCATGAATCACAAAAGAATAATTTTCTCAAGCTGCTGTTTTCCAGACAAATGGAAATTGTTTATATGGGCTACTATTATGGTACTTCAGAGCTTTTGTGCTTTTTTATCTTGACCGTGCATGTTCATAATGTAAAAGAGCAGCAGCAACATTAATTTCTCCATAGAAGAAATAAAATAATACAGATTTTAAAACTGCATATGGATGAGTATACTGAGGTCGGTTTTGGGTGAACTGTTCCTTGGATAATCTCAGTGTTGTTGACTTTTAGAGTTTTAAATATGGAGTTAATAATTTGAATATGGATTGTTTTAAAGGGATAGTTCACCCCATTATTTACTCACCCTCAAGCCATCCTAGGTCTATATGACTTTCTTCTTTCAGACAAATGCAATCGAAGTTATATAAAAAATTGTCCTGGCCCTTTCAGGCTTTATAATGGCAGTGGGCGGGTGTTTCTGTTCAACAGTCCAAAACAAGTCCAATAAAGTGCATCCATCCATAATAAAAAGTAACTCACACGGCTCCGGGGGTGAATACAACCTACGTCTTCCGCCCGGAACGGCTTCCGTGAACAACATTTAGCGCAAGCTAGAGAAAAGGGATTATTACCTTTTAAATATTTATTTATTTTAATTTTTTTACAAAAACGCATGGATTCGCTACAGGAGGCCTTTATTCACCCCCGGAGCCATGTGAGGCACTTTTTATTATGGATGGATGCGCTTTATTAGACTTGTTATGGACTGTAGAACAGAAACACCCACCCACTGCCATTATAAAGCTTGAAAGGGATAGGACAATTTTTAATATAACTCCGATTGGATTCGTCTGACAGAAGGAAGTCATATAGACCTAGGATGGCTCAAGGGTGAGTAGTAATGGGCTGAAAAATTTAAAATTTTTGGGTGAACTATCCTTTTAACATTGGAGAGTGATAGTAGATCTATGGAAACTTACTTCCGCCACTGAATTAAAAAAAAGGTAATTGTGACTTTTTAAATTCATTCAGTGGCAGAAAACTGGCTTCCATATACTGTAGATCTGATGTGGTTTGTAGTGATTTGCAATGATTTCAGAGACTTGCGTGTGTGTGTGTGTGTTAAAAAATGTATGCATTTAGATGTTTACTTTGATTTTCTTACACACGGTTTCTTACAAAACAATAACTATCTTTTCGGTAAAACTACAGTAAGGTTCCATTTGGTAACATTAGTTGTCCACATTTAGTTTGTGTTTGCAAATCCATATAACTGCATTATTCCACACGTGTTGCTAAATCAGGGCAGAGTGGGCGAGCAGACAGCAGAGAGACCAGCGGACGACAGGACGGGCTTTTATGAAGACTACCATCATCATCATCATCACTACCAAACTCAGAAGCAAGGACGTTTGGAAGACGACAACACTGAGGAGCAAGACGCTAAAGCTAACAACAACCAAAGTGAATGGAGAAGTGGTCACAAACACCACAGCCATCATCATCATCATCATCACCACCGCCATCACAGTCGCACCACGAGGACGCTTTACAAACAAGAGACGTCAGAGTGCACATATCCAGAACCTCTCGCTGGACAAACGCAGGAAGAGGAACCACCAAACCATCATCACCATCATCACCACCAGGGTGACAAAGAGAAGGAATACGACCACAACGAGAGGAACGGCCAGCAAAGAGGAAAGCAGAGGTCACAACGAGAACCTCATCATGAGCGGGACAGGAAACGAGGAGAGGCGGAATGGGCGAGAGAGCATTACATAGAGCAGTGACACACGTGCCACATACACACTCACCTCAATCTTATGTGTTTTTACAGGCCAATGTAATGTATATGACACGTGTATCCATACACGACTTTTCCAAGTGTGGACACATTAAATAAAGACAATTATATATAATTTAATATGGCATGAATGATGAAATTCTCTTTAAAGATTGTAGAATTTTGTGTATTTATTTTTAGTTTTGTTTTTTACTTGATTTGCATTCCTGGTCTTATTGAACAAATCATAGATGCATGTATTTTTTTTAAACTTGCTCTGCTTTGAAACAATCTTGGTTTTCAGCAGATGTGAGTGACAGTTTCAGAAATGAATGCAAGTTTGGGGCAAAAAAGCCACCGAAAGTGACAAAAATGGCTAAATGTGTCCCCATATAGAAATCTGCTGTTTATTTTTTTATCGTACATATTTCGTAAATTCTTTAGGTCTAGTTAATTACTCAAATTAGTATTATTATTATTGATGGAGGCTTGTTTCCACCACAGAAAAAAAAAATAAAAAAGTAAATGTGACTTATCTTACAATTCTGACTTTTCTTCCTTGCAATTCTGAGAAAAGAAAGTCAGAATTCTGAAATACAAACTTGCGATTCTAAGAAAAGTCAGAAATCTGAGATGTAAACTAGAAAAGTTTTTTTACTAAAAAAGTCAGAATTGTAAGATAAAAAGTTGCAATTACTTTTTAGTTTTTATTCTGTGGTGGAAAAAAAAACAGAATTGTGAGATCGCAACTGCAAGAAAAAAAGTCAGAATTGTGAGATAATAAATAGTTGCGAATACCTTTTTTATTCCATGGCAGAAACAATCTTCCATAATTATTATTATTTTGTTGTTATTGAATATTCTGCTCACCCAGAAAAACTTTTCATGTTGAATTCTCTGGAGAAGTGGTCACAAACACCACAGCCATCATCATCATCATCATCACCACCGCCATCACAGTCGCACCACGAGGACGCTTTACAAACAAGAGACGTCAGAGTGCACATATCCAGAACCTCTCGCTGGACAAACGCAGGAAGAGGAACCACCAAACCATCATCACCATCATCACCACCAGGGTGACAAAGAGAAGGAATACGACCACAACGAGAGGAACGGCCAGCAAAGAGGAAAGCAGAGGTCACAACGAGAACCTCATCATGAGCGGGACAGGAAACGAGGAGAGGCGGAATGGGCGAGAGAGCATTACATAGAGCAGTGACACACGTGCCACATACACACTCACCTCAATCTTATGTGTTTTTACAGGCCAATGTAATGTATATGACACGTGTATCCATACACGACTTTTCCAAGTGTGGACACATTAAATAAAGACAATTATATATAATTTAATATGGCATGAATGATGAAATTCTCTTTAAAGATTGTAGAATTTTGTGTATTTATTTTTAGTTTTGTTTTTTACTTGATTTGCATTCCTGGTCTTATTGAACAAATCATAGATGCATGTATTTTTTTTAAACTTGCTCTGCTTTGAAACAATCTTGGTTTTCAGCAGATGTGAGTGACAGTTTCAGAAATGAATGCAAGTTTGGGGCAAAAAAGCCACCGAAAGTGACAAAAATGGCTAAATGTGTCCCCATATAGAAATCTGCTGTTTATTTTTTTATCGTACATATTTCGTAAATTCTTTAGGTCTAGTTAATTACTCAAATTAGTATTATTATTATTGATGGAGGCTTGTTTCCACCACAGAAAAAAAAAATAAAAAAGTAAATGTGACTTATCTTACAATTCTGACTTTTCTTCCTTGCAATTCTGAGAAAAGAAAGTCAGAATTCTGAAATACAAACTTGCGATTCTAAGAAAAGTCAGAAATCTGAGATGTAAACTAGAAAAGTTTTTTTACTAAAAAAGTCAGAATTGTAAGATAAAAAGTTGCAATTACTTTTTAGTTTTTATTCTGTGGTGGAAAAAAAAACAGAATTGTGAGATCGCAACTGCAAGAAAAAAAGTCAGAATTGTGAGATAATAAATAGTTGCGAATACCTTTTTTATTCCATGGCAGAAACAATCTTCCATAATTATTATTATTTTGTTGTTATTGAATATTCTGCTCACCCAGAAAAACTTTTCATGTTGAATTCTCGATATCATCTTCACTGCTGATTTGTTTAGTTAAAAAAAAAAAAAAAAGGATATTTATTTTATTTTGTGTGGATGTCATTTTGAATTGTTATTTAATGTTAATTACTTGTGTGTTAATGTTGCAAAGGTGTGTATTGCCTTGCATATAGGATAAAGAAGTTACAAAAACAACATGATAGTTTTGGTTTGTTTCTCCAGCAGTCCTGAACTCTTATTAACATACTCGATTACTAACGTAACCTCGGCTCCCTGAGATACGGAACGAGTACTGCGTCTGTTTAAGATGCTTGGGGAAAACGCCTTTTTCTCTGATGACTGAAGCCTTTCAATAACGCAGTGTAACT